AGTGCACCTCGTCACGGCCCTTAAGCTTGTAGGAGTTTGTTATAATTCACCTACTTTCCCTATGGCAGCCAGGAATAGGGACAGGATAGGGATTTCCCTGCGTAAAATAAGGCTAAAATGCAGAGTCAGTCTCAGACTCATATACAGTTTGTCCGGTACGTAAAGGATAACTACAAATACTAAAGAGCAAATACAAAAGCAAATACAAAAGTGAACCACCCCGGCCATTCAGAAAAAAAACATCTACAGCAGTCTGAAAAGAACCTTTTTTTAAAGCATGAAATTTGATACCTTCGTTCACATTATTGAGTACTATGTCTATAAATTTATTAATAACCAATTGATTATCTCTGGGATTAATTGTGAATCTTTGGCCTTGCCATCGCACATTACACAATATTTCTGGCTGTAACTGTTTTTTATTTAATACTTAAAACTAAAATTGGAATTTTTGATTTTACAATGACGACGTTTAAGCACCTGTGGTATAAAAAAACGTATGGAGACTAGGGTTGCCAATAGCTAAGAAACATGCCTTCTTCATACAGATTCTAAAACAGTAATAAACTCCATTTTGAATGACCAAATTATAAAGCCATTCGAATTGCCAAGCAACGTAGATAGACCGATGTATTTGAATTTATTATAAAATTATTTACCTGATCTCTTAGAAAAGATGCCTTTGGCGGCCCGTCGCAGTATGTGGCTGCAAAACGATAGATGCTCAGCACATTACGCTACGTCCGCAAGGGGGTGTCTGAACGAGTTGTATCTTAACAAATGGATCGGCTGTTTGGGACCTATTTTGTGGCCACCACGATCTCACGACCTAAAACTTTTTTTATTGAGGCTGCTTAAAAGGAAAAGTCCACAAAAATCAATCGCAACAATACGAGAATTGCTTCAACGTGTTTTGGACGCGGCTCGATAAATTGTAGAAAATACCTGATTCTCGGCTATTGAAAAGGACTTTCATAAGAAGTTGTAGAGTCTGTATTAGAGTAGGGGCAGGGGCAAAAAATTTTTACATTTTTTACTATAATTAAAATATGGAACCGATATGGAATATTGGTTTTAATTATTATTACACCCCAACCACTCCAAAGAAATACTCCTACAGATTTCCGAAGCAAATATCTTATTTTCTACCGAGTTCAAAAAGGAGGAGGTACTCAAATCCACTGTTTTTATGTATGTTACCTTATAACTTTTTTTGGGTGAACTGATTTCGATGATTCTTTGTTTATTTGAAAACTGGTGCATTCGTGCGTGTACGTCTCATATAATTTGAATTTGATTAAGGTCTGACCAACAATTTTTGAGTTATTCTTAATAATGTATATTGAAGTCGGTTGTAGAAAATTTTTAATTTTAAATTATTGAATCTTTTTATTTTAAGAATAATAAGACTAGAGAAACATAAATAGCAATAACTCTTTAATTTGAAAAAAAAATTGTAGTTATTAAAATTTACTTTATTACCGTTTTAGAATCTGCATGAAGTAGCCTTGTTTTTAAACTATTTGCTACCCTGGTCACTATACGTTTTTTTGTACCGCTTGTGCTCAAAATGATTTATTTAATTAAAAAACAAATAAAGCTAGAAATATTTTGTACTATGCAATGGCAAGGCCAATCATTCACGACGATTTCTAGAGAAAAACAATTGGTATTAATAAATTTGTAGCTGTAGTACTCAATAATGTAAACGGAGGTATCAAATTTCATACTTAAATAAAAGTTTTTTTTTCTAGACCTGCAGCAGATACATTCTTTATTTTATTTTTTCCTGATTGGCCGAGGTTCCCCCCAACTAGTACCTGAGGGGCTATCCATTACTTACAACCTGTATTTAGCTCAAAGTTTCGTTTGTTGTATTTTATGCTATTATGATATTCGCTCTTTCTTGCTCAACTCACTCGCTATTTTCTTATGTTTCTTCTTTTTTAACAGGCCCTGAAAGTCCTTAGCTGAACACGAGATCTTCTCTATGGCCTTCTCGCTTGGCAAGTGTCTCGAAACTTTTGTTCGTCTTCGATTTGTGTACTTAACGCCTGGCGAAAGCAAGAAATTCTGTCATGAAAACATTATACCGCCATCCATATTTAACCATAAGACCGTTTTAGTACATCCCATAGTTGCCTCTTACGATACTCACAAGACGAAATGGGTTGATAGTTCTTACAAAAGGATTTGCAATTACCTAAACTCATTTATTTTTATTAGAATCTTAATAAATTTATCTATTGTTATTATTATTTCACGCTTTCATAATAACTGGTGGAAAACGTTTGTTCTGTTTTATCAGTGCTAGCATTTGTATGTGGATTATGTAAAGAAACTCATACTCGTGCAGTAGTGAAATAAATTACAGCAGTTATTATGTCTTTAATTTTTTTTACCTTTAAAAACAGTGTACAGATAATATTTTTGTTTTCTCAAGCTTATGCGTACATTCAGTTATCAGAAAATATTTTAATATTTGTTAAAGTTGACATTAACATAAAAAGAGTCGCGATGGTGTGACGTATAATAAAGTACCATAACTTCCACATCTCCTTGAACTTGAACTCCTCTCAAAATTTGTTCGATGTACCGTTAGTATATTATAATATATTTACAAAAAATAAACTAGATGGTGTTTTGATAAGTATATTTTTATTACTAACCTTCTAACACTGGCAACCCACTAGTGAAGATTGAATAAGCAGGATATTCACCATAGATGCCACGCTTGCCAATTGCGGCCGCTAAACCACCTGCTAAACGTGGATAACCTCATCTATGAGGCAATCCATGAAGAAGGTCTATGTTTAACAGTTAACTTTTATAGGATATAGTGATGATGAAATATATAGAAATATAGAAAAAAACATTTACATTTTTGTAATCAAATATATTTATGTATCAACATCATCACCATCTACAGGGGAGACATTTGTTCAGCTGTAGACTTTGGTAGGCAGTTATGGATGGATGTTAGACGTGGTAGAACGTGGTAGACCACGCTCTCACAGAATACCAGCGAAAATAGCAGCTCAACGCTGCTGTGTTTCGTATGGTGAGTGTCTCTACACAACTGGAGACCCTTTTTACTGGAAACAAGGCATTTGATCTTAGTCCTCACGGCTGCAATCAAAATGCATCTGCATTTTGATTCTCAATCGAAGATGTCTATGGGCCACAGCAACCACTTACCATCAGGTGGACTGTGTGCTCGTTTGTCACCCTTATCCTAAAAAAATAATATTTATTTTGCTCCGAAATCACTTACTTACCAGCCGAAGTTAATGAGATATCAAAGACAGTACTTATATTTAGCTAGACTCAATAGAAGGAATGATCAAAGCATTTACAGTTGGTCTTTTTTATGAATATAGGAACCGTAATTTTTGACAAACATCAGATCATAATCCGACATCGTCAACTGAGTAGAAAATAAACGTTACTTGTACACTAACAAGTGAACGTGCGTGCCCACATATTATAGTAAATTAGCAACAGCACTTTTTTTGTCGTTATTTTGGAAGACGCTGCTGCCCATCTCCTGATTTATTTCCCTCTTTCGCCTCTTAAGACACCCACGGAATGATATGGGGTAGCGGTTATTCTTACAGGTAGTAATACAATACATATTGTAATTTTAATGGAACATAATTACAAGTCCATTGCTAGATATAAGCCTGAGCCTGAGAGGATTTGTCTTAATTTTGACGCTTGGCAGGTGGATCGACGAACGCAGAGCCAGACATGTGACACTATATACGCTGTTTCCGTCCCCGGCCTGGTTATTTTACGTTTGGTATAAACGAGATAGTTTCCAGTATGTAACTAAAGCCATAAAAATCTGGCATTTCCCAAAGCCGCCTATTAAACATCCAAGGGAAGGAATGGGTTGGTGGATCCTCATAGCTCTATCACATGGCAGTATAATGTAATACTTATTCGAATCGAGGGATGCAGCGCAAGAAACTCGAGTAACAATATATTAACCATACTATAGCCAACAATACAACAATTTGTTTTCAATTCAGGTATCAATGTAGGCAAGTGCTAAAATCGGACATCATGGTTTAGCGGGAAAGAACTTTCACTACTAGGTCACGATATATTCATAATATCAGTAAATTGTGTTATTGAGACAGCTTGTGACTGTTATAGTACGCTTTTATTAACATATTTTTCTGAATTCCACGTCCTTCGCAGGACTAGAAGAGCAAAAAATTTCCAATATATTCCGAATTTTATAACAACACAATTTTTGTCAGCTCATATTATTATCTTATCGATGAAAACGTTTTTGTATGCAAAGCTCTTAATACATTTAAACTCTTGAGTGCCATGCCATACATTCATATTTATTAGCCCTCTGCAAAAAATGCATTTTAGTGTACTGTAGTACTTAGTCAGAATTATGATAATGTAAAATTTATTTATTTAATCTTAAATGTTCATACCAATAAATAAAGTGTACATAAGACATTTTATGCCAGTCAATCTTGAGAGACAAAGAAAAATGTTGGTATAAACTTGTCAAAAAACTGTAATGAAATTATAGTTATTAAATTGAGACGTTAATTTACCTAGCTGGATATTTAAATACTTACATTAGTCTTATGAGTTACCATCGTTACTGATTTAATTTTTGTCAAAATAAGAAATTGTTTATAGTGACGATTAACAAGTTTAAGTAAAATAGTGATTATTAAATAGTTTAGTGTAATTTCAGTTTGGGTGTTAATTCTGTCTGTGACATTACCATTTTGTTTAAACTTTTGTTTTGTTTTCAGGTTATACTTCTATGCTGGATCGTAGTTTCATTTATATTGAACTTAGCTTTGAAGGAATATGATAATATAAAAGAGAAGAACACTATGAGATACTGGCAAGTCGATCAAAAGCGCAGAGATAGTGGAAGAAAACTCTATAGTTTCAGACATGATAACAACAGAAACAAACAGAGTATATTTATGATGCCTAATTAGAAGGAATAATAAATTATGCAGACCGAGTCATGGGCAACTAATGAGACATTATATAATATTAACTCAACAGGTACCAATCAAAATGCAAACGTTACCGAGCTTGCAGACCCAATCGAAAACAAAGCAATCCAAGCCGCTTTCTGTACAGTGTACACAATTATTTTTGTCGTCGGCATCTTCGGTAATGCATTAGTTTGCTATGCTGTTATTAGAAACCGGGCAATGCAAACTGTCACAAATTTGTTCATCACGAATCTAGCGCTCTCTGATATATTACTGTGTGTGTTTGCCGTACCATTTACACCTCTTTACACTTTCCTAGGGAGATGGGTGTTTGGAAGCTTGTTATGCCATATCATGCCTTATGCTCAAGGCTGCAGCGTCTATATCTCAACCCTAACATTGACATCGATAGCGATAGACAGATTTTTTGTAATCATATATCCCTTTAAGCCCCGAATGAAGATAAAAACTTGTATTGGACTGATAATTTTCATTTGGGTTTTTGCGTTATCAGTAACATTTCCATATGGATACTACATGGGATTACAGGATATCTATTGTGCTGAGGAGTGGCCATCAGATCAGATTCGAAAAGCCTTTGGAGCAGTCACAACAATCATGCAGTTTGTTATACCCTTTATAGTAATGGCATTCTGTTATACATGCGTTAGTATAAAACTAAATGATCGCTTAAAGTCAAGACCCGGTAGTAAAAATAGTAAAAAGGAAGATGCAGAACGTGAAAGAAAGAGAAGAACAAATAGAATGCTCATTGCAATGGTAGCTATTTTCGGTCTTTCCTGGTTACCACTAAACCTTATAAATATTAGTAGTGACTTTTATTCCTTAGCTGAGGCTTGGAGGTACTATATGGTATTATTTTTCGTTGCACACTTTATAGCAATGTCTTCCACGTGTTACAATCCATTTCTATATGCTTGGTTAAATGAAAACTTCAGGAAAGAATTTAAACAAATACTTCCCTGCTTAGGCGCATTTGTAATTAGAAAGTCAAAACGTAAGTTTAATCAGTCAGAGAGAACGGGTATGTATCGATCGGAAAAATCATGTAATGGTAATGAAACTGTACAAGAATCACTACTAACATCGACTGTAAATACAAGTAGATTACCTTCAAATAGACATAAAATTGAATTCAACGACAAATTAAAAACATATGAAGACGAAAATATAAGTCCAGATGATAAACCAGATGAAAATCCAAGTCCTAATGAAGACTGTATTAAAATGTACATGTTTGTAGATAAGTCGGTAACAACGTCTGATAAGGAGCCTATTGTATCTGCCTTGTAGCTTTAACGGTAAGTTTATAAGAATATTTGAGCAGTTCAGAATATTTATTACGCAACTAATCACTTTATGGATGGCTGTCTTATACTCATCGCATCAGTATGCACAGTACTGAAATGATGTGTATAAATCAGTTTTTTTTTTATATGATAGGGTGACAAAGGAGCACACAGTCCACCTGATGGTAAGTGGTTGCTGTGGCCCATAAACATCTACATCTATCCTCGATTACGAATCAAAATGCAGATGCGTTGTCACCCGTGAGGATAAAGATGGAATGCCTCATTTCCAGTAAAAAGGGTCTCCGGTTCTCTACACTCACCATACGAAATACAGCAGTGTTAAGCTGCTAATTTACGCTGGTATTCTGTGAGAGCGTGGTTCTTCTCCGGTCGAGCCGACCCATTACAACTATACTACTAATATAGCTGCAGAATGGCTCTATCACGTAAATGGTATGTTTATACCGAAAATTCATAACTCTTAGTTTCTGGTATTTCCAATTTTTGCCTCTTATGACACATATGGAATAGTACGAGGTAGAAATGGATAGACTCTCTGATGCCACCAGTACAAGCTGAAAATAGTAGAATAGAGTAATAGTAGTTTAATAGCATTATAAAATTGTTGTAATCAACCAAACGATTAACAGTTTTACTGTCTTTTTTCCACTTTATAAGAACCATTCTGGATTCGGCAGTTCACCAAAATTTAATCATGTAAAAGGGCTATAAAAAATAAATTGCCTTTTTAGCGCTACCCTACTAAGCCAATTCTATCTTTATAAAGAATAATGATCGCTATAAAAAAGTCACGATAACGCGTGATAGAGCAAAATATCACATGGTCATGATTTTTTAATGTTTTTTTTAAATACATCATTGATTTATTCGTTACAACCTATCTAAAGTACACGGCTGAACATAGCTAAGCTAGCCAGCTAAGGGATAGCCTTATTGTTATTTGCTAGGGTTGCCACGGTTGACAGGCAGTTTTTTTTAAATTTTTAGTTGTTATTGGGAAGACGCTGCTGCCCATTTTCAGGTTTCAGGTTGCTGTAAGAGACGACAGAAGGAATTCTGTCGCCTCTTACGACAACCACGGGAATGAAATTGGGTAGGATAATCATACACCGGCATCTACACGTTGGACATAGCCTTACCTCCCTCCCCTCCACCTATGGCAAGCGTGATAACTATGGCAAATATCCCTTTAAATATACCCATAAGCGTTGTTAACTGGTTTCACATTTGTTTTGATAGAATAAAAAAGCAGTATCTATGATATCGGTTGTCTATGATAAAATACCGCCGTCATAAACCGAATACATCTGGACACGATAACCAATAGAATATGTAGTACCTCATAATTACCTAATAGCCAAATAACTAAAGAACGCTTGTCCAACAAAATGTTAAATTTGCACCACATAATATCGTATTTCTTACTTTTAACAGTCACGTATACTCACTAATATTTGATTTCCTAATAAATTATTTATAGGGAATAGAAGATACCTAATCACTAAGCAGTATGCTGTTACCAACTCAAAATTATAAGAAAAGTTAACAACCCAGCTGCCAAGCGTGGCAGCTATGGCAAATATCCTCCCGACCGTTGGACTTTTGATAGGCTGTGATGAATAAATAAATGGTGAACATACCTTTGCTTACAAACATCTTAATACGTATTGAAATTCAATTCGAAATTATTTATTCAGTATCTTAAATTTAAATACATTAACTAGGCTGGGGTCTCCTTTTAAATATATCAATACATGTGTTAGGGGATCCCAAACTTCCATAAAAAAAAATTATACTAATAAGATAGCATACAAATGTACTAATATTACTAATAATGTACGTATGTAAATTTATCGCAATGTTCTGGAAAATAGCGAAACTAAATTTCTAGCGTGTTTGAAAAAAATCTTGTTATTATTAGACCATTAGATTTCATAATAAGTTAAAAAAAATTAATTAGGCTAGTACGTCCCAACACAAATGTCAAAATGGCCATGATCAAACTGGCCGCAGTCGTGTCAACAAACTCTCTAGGTTAAGTCATTCAATTGGCATAAACTGAATGATAAAGGAATGGTAGTAATTGGGATTGCAGTCAAGCACTGGCTTAAAATAGGTAAAAAATTGCCAGTCTAGTCCTCTATTATGTTTGAATATCTTGTCGTAACAATTTTCGATAAGCTATTTATAATATCGCTCAAAGAAATCAAAAATAGTAGATACCATTTTATAAGTTTTAAAACAAAAGATATTTAAAAAAAAATTAATACTTATTAAGAACTAAAGTTAAGTTAAAATTAAGGTTTTTTTTTAAAAAGACTGGTAGTGTAAGTTTTAATTCCTCTGAATAATCAGTATTATTCAATAATTATCATTAAGGTGACACTAGTCGACAATATTTCCATTGATTTCCATACAAATTTCGGAGGGGTTTTACTACGCTGTTTGACAGTGTACATCCAAAGTTAAACATGATATCGTTTTGTCTCATTATCAAATTTGTCTGTACGGAAACAGAATAGTAAAATAAAATGTTATTAAAAAGTTACGAGCTACCAAAGATTCGTTTTTATTGCCAATTTTAACACAACTTTGGGCGTAAATTAGTAATAAAAGAAGTGTGAAATTTCCAAAACAAAGTCGGTACCGACACAGCTCAATTATCGAAGAATTCAAGAAATTTTATTCGTAATTAATTTATGCAGTGGTTTTTTCATAAAACCCCTTCTTCCAAAGGCCTTTTCGTATTTTTTTACGCGCGTATGTTACTATGAATTATCGTGCATCTCACTGAATAATGTTTGCCCCGGTGCGGTGCGGGAGGACGACGCTTACACACACATGCACGGGCGGTGACGCGGGCTTATTCGAGTTTTATTCGAAACGAAAAGTTTTGCTATTTTGTAATTTGGACGCCAAAGACAAAAGACAGCATGGAAATTGATATAATTGAAAGAGATGATGCGTTTTGGACGACAGACAATTTTGTTTTTTATTTCAATTTTCGTCTGTAATATAATATAATTATAAAAGAAAAAAAATTAAGTCTATAATATACGATTACTATATAAAATTGCAACAATTTCATTGGTGCCGACGGGGATCGAACCCGGGTTGCTCGCGTAGTGTGATACTTACGGCGAACGATAACCATCTGAGCTACCACGGCTCTCAATGCAAGTGTTATAAATAAATAAAGAATTACAAAACAGTTTAATTATTTATTAGACGACTCTTGCGGCGGACAAACAAGGTATATTATGTGGGATTTTCATAGGTACCTACTGTTATTACCTAGATACCTACAACCTACAATACAACAAAATGTCACAAAACGTCACCGCGTCGTGGCCACAAAATTGTAAACTTTAGGTAGGTACGTCAGTACTAAGAAAACAATCTTGATGGGTCACTTGTCTTGATAAAAACCTGTGTTTACGTTTAGTGATATTGAGTATATATAAAAAAAAGTAAGAAGACAGGTAAGTATTTTTGAAAAAAATTTATAGGTAAGCAGAACTAATTACAATTATTATCTAAATATTATAAATGCGAAAGTTTGGATATTTGGATGGACGAATGAAAGGATGTATGTTATTCAATCACGCCAGAACCGCTGAAGGGACCTGGATGATATTTTGCTCAGAGATAGGTTATAGTCTGGAATTTTATTTTATTTTATTTTTTAAAAATACATTACCCCCGCACTAGCATTTTCTCCTGTATAGTGGAAGCAGTTTACAAACATCCAGACCCGGAACAACTATTTGTAGGCCATACAAATTTTTTTTTTCTTATTTAAAAAACGTTACACCCACACTAGGAGTTTCTCCTGTATCGTGGAGGCAGTTTACAAACATAAATTGCACAAGGACAAACATCCAGACCCGGAAGAATTATTTGTAGGCCATACAAATACTTGTTCCGTGCGGGATTCGAACCCGCGGCTCCCAGTAATATAAAATATTTCGTTCCCGTGGGATAATTTTTGCAGTTACACACGTTCGAAGCCGAACTCTTGAGTGATCGCTGCATAACCACTCGGAAAAACTAAACATAATAAAATAAGCAATCTATATTAGGTATATAGAGCCACAGAGGTATAATATGAAGCGATAAAGCAGCGCCTAATCATTTCGCGGTTTCACCCGCGTCATCATGTGTCCGAGATGCATGGCATGACATGACACCTAGTTTTATAATTGCAATCAAATATTTTATTTGATAATAATGTATGGAAAAATTGTCATAATTAATGAAGTACTTTTATTTTATCTGTCGGCATACTATGCGCGGTTTTATTCAGTTTTAAAGAAAAACGTACACGATACATGAAAAGTGTGTAGGCAAGAAATGATTCTTGATACATTTGCTATCAACCTCTTATACTCTTATACGGCTCCGTGGCGCAGTGTCTTAGCAATGAGTTGCTGAGCAGGGGGCCGCGGGTTCGAATCCCGCACGGATCAAGTATTTGTATTTGTATGGCCTACAAATAATTGTTCCGGGTCTGGATGTTTGTCCTTGTGCAATTTGTGTTTGTAAACTGCCTCCACGATACACGAGAAAATCCTAGTGTGGGGGTAACGTCTTTTTTTTAAAGAAATAAATAAAATAAAAACTTATTAATCAATTAAACTTTCAAAATACCATAGCAACGTGAAATGAAAGAGTTCAGAATTAACTAATCATTGTTACGCTCACCTGGGAGATAGATAAAAGCACTCAATTAATTTTGAATTTATTTTAGCTACCAGCTGTTCCCCGCGACTTCGTCCGCATTTAGTTTAGGGTGTTAATTTTGTTGCACGGACGCCTAATAATTTTTCTAAAATTTAAGCATTCTAAGTTACTACTTATAACATGAGCTATCTACTAGTGAAAGTCCCGTCAAAATCGGTCCAGCCGTTTTGGAAATTAACCGGAACAAACAGACAGACAGACAGAAAAATGTTAAAAATTGTGTTATAAGTAGCGTAT